TGCCCTGCAGCATGCAATCCTGCAGTATAATGTAGACGTGGCAATAGTAACAGAAACGAAGCTCTTCTCAGATAATTCCTCCCATGAGTTGACCATCCCAGGATACTCACCCCCTATAAGGAAGGATCGAGATGCCCATGGTGGCGGTGTGGCAGTGTGGGCTAGGAGTGAACTATCCATTACCCACCACGACGATATAGATTGCCGTGATCACGAGCTTTTATGGATTTCCCTGGCAATGCACTCCGGAACAAAGACTGTTCTGGGTGCCCTCTACCGGCCTGGCTCTTGTGCAGAGACAGACACCAGCCTGATGGACTACCTAGACAACACCTTGGATGATGTCCGCCGTCTTGGCAGCAATGTGATAATTGCAGGGGACTTCAACGTGAATAATTCAGCCTGGCTACAGAGTAGCAAGACTACCCGAGCCGGTGAATGCCTGGAGGAAGTCTGCGCAGCACATCATCTTGTCCAGCATGTCACCCAGCCAACCCGCGGCAACAATACTCTCGATCTTTTCATCTCCGATTTCTCACACCCCGTATGCACCACGGCCTATGCACCACTTGGACGATCTGATCATGCCGTTATCATTGCCGAGTTTCTCCAACAGCATCCACGACGCGAAGATCCTGCTGTTCGACAGGTTTGGAAATACGCCCTTGCTGACTGGCACCGCCTGGGAGCCTACCTCCGCAACATAGACTGGCCCGCCAAGATCCATGGGTGTGCGGAGCAGTCCTGTCAGCGCGTAACTGATGTCATCATGCATGGAATGAAACAGTTCTTACCATCCAAAGAGCTTGTGGTGCACCAATCCAACCCTGTATGGTGGACACCGGACTGTTCTAACGCCAATCATGCCAAGGAGCGGGCATGGAAGCTGTGGCGACGCAATCCCCACAACGATAACCACAAGGTCAAGTACATCACAACTGTTAACCACGAAGTGGAAGCGTGTCATGCAGCGCGATTAGCACATCAACGTAGAATTCGGAACAAGCTTACTGCAGGTTGCCTCCTGGACAAAGAGTGGTGGTCAACCATCAAGAGCGCAGCAGGCAAGGGACGTTGCTCTGACATCTCCCTGCTGACCAACCCTGCGGGACAAGAGTTCCACTCTTCTCGTGAGAAAGCCGAGTGCTTTCCAGCGCATTTTGCGACCAAGTGTAGCCTTGGCAATAACGACCTCTGTGCTGCTGACCTGCCTTACCTGCAACGACCTGCCTATGCCACGCTAAAGCACATTCACTTCCGCGCAGCAATGGTCAAACGGCACTTGGCGAACTTGGCTGTATCAAAAGCAACTGGACCGGATGGAATCTCTGCTCGTGTGCTCAAGATGTGCTCATCTGAACTTGCAGACCCACTGGCAAAGCTCTTCGCCCACTGCTTCTTAGCCGGTGTGCAACCTGGAGCATGGAAACTTGCCCATGTAGTCCCAGTTCACAAACGGTCCTCCAGATCTTTGGCATCTAACTACCGACCAATATTACTGCTAACGATCATGTCGAAAGTCATGGAGGGCATTGTAAACACGCAACTGGTTAACTACCTATAGAAGCATGAGGTGTTGCCAAACAGCCAGTTTGGATTCCGACGTGGTACAGGAACCGCAGATATCTTTTAAATGGCTCTCCAACATGAATGGGTCCACACCATAAGTACTGGCGGTTGTGTCCAGGTCCTCGCCGTGTATATTGCCGGTGCGTTTGACCGGGTATCGCACACAGGAGTGCTGTACAAAGCAAAAGCAGGCCGGCGTCGACAGACGCCTGCTTGTATGGCTACAGGACTACCTCACCAACCGAAACATCCGCGTTGTGGTTGGAGGCCAGACGTCAGATGCTCAACCCATCCAGGCTGGTGTCCCCCAAGGCAGCATCCTAGGACCCAGCCTCTTCCTTCTGTACACCTGTGACATTGAACAATGTTTAACTCCAGGAACGCAGCTGAGCAGCTTTGCAGACGACACCACACTCTACAGCTTAGTACAGCCAACTGACGATCTCCAACAGTCCACCGCCTCCCTCCAAGGGTCCCTCAACAGTCTTGAGGAGTGGGGCCGCAAGTGGCGTATCTGTTTTGAGCCAGCCAAGACACAGCGCATGACTCTACATCGCAAGCACATTCCCCCTGCACTCCACCAGTCACCTTTGGAGGTGAAGCACTCCAGGAGACAGATACCCTGAAACTGCTGGGAGTCATGCTCGACCCTACTCTCTCCTACAGAGCACACACTCGCAGTGTTGCACTTCGCGCCTCCCAAAGGCTGGGTTTCCTACGAAAGGCAGCACCCATCCTGGACGACCAGGGTCGAATGACGGTCTACAAGGGATTCGTGCGACCCCTACTTGAATATGCCCCACTGGCCTGGTCGAGCGCAGCCGCAACTAACATGGCCCAGCTGGACAAGGTTCAGCAACGTGCCCTGCATTTCCTGGGACCTGGAACCATGCGCCAAAGTCTTCAGCTTCGTCGGATGGTGGCAGCCCTGTCATAGTTGTTCAAGCTGCACTACATTCCAGGGCCTCCCCAGGTAAAGGCCATGCTGTCACCAACCAAGCCCCCTGCCGTAGCTAGCATGTGCACACGTCAAAAACGTCAGACGCACCATGCCTTTCAGCTGAAGTGGACACCCCTCGCACAGCCCCTGTCTACCTCCTGCGGTTCTTCCCCTTCTTCGCCATAACACCCTGGAACAACCTGCCTGCGGACCTCCTGCTTCACGAGCCTCATTCAAGACGCCTCCAAACCTTCAAGGTCAACGTATGTAAGGATCTAATCCGAAAGAGATGTCTGCGGTCCACACAGTACCTGTGACGATGATATTGAGACCCATTTAGTATTTACCTCTCTACTAGTACTTGCTTGTTTAAGATTATTGTTCTCTTTCTTCATTTTCCCTTCTGGTTTAGTCATTACACGTATTTATTATTATTTGGTGCAATACTAGCGCCCCTTTCTCGCACCAAATTATAATTTTTGCTACCTGGCCATGCAACCCCCCCTTTTTCGATGCCAGGTTGCAACGCTAACGCCGAGACCCCTGGTCGGTCGAGTTGCTCCCTGTACATCGGCACGTCGTCCCTACATCCCCTGTGTCTTGTCTTGTGTTTATCTTCACATGTCTCTTTGTAGGGCTGTGTTCCCAATAAAAAAAATAAAAAAAATAAAAAATAAAAGTGCTCAACACTGCGGAGGCAAAGCAAAATACAGGCCAACAAGGACAATCAAGGCTTGCGAGCTGCACCACTCCCTGCTCAATACGCAATGTTTCGGGGAAATCACCTTCATCCATTGAGTAGGCTGAGAAGGAGTGTACCTGAAGACCATCACTTTTATTGTGCTCCTTAGGACCAGACATCAACAGGGATACAAACTTACAGAAATGCTCCGTTTTCATCCCGAGGAACCTCGTGAACACCAGATAGCAGCGTGAGGCATTGTCGCTTCTGGACGGTGAGAACACACGTCGAGGACCATTGGTCATTCACAAAGCACGAGCTCCAGTTTGGGGAGGAAACCGCAAGGACTGCGATAGATGCGCAAGATGGCCCAGAAGGTTCTTGTGTATTTGGAAGGTAGTGCACGTTAGTTCACATGTGCATCGATGTCTCGTCATACCAGTAGAAATTTACGGACATAGCAGTTGTCCAATGCAGGATTTCAGGTATTCATTCCAGTTGGAAAATCTAAAATCGAAAATAGTTCTCTTTAAAGCACAGCTGAGGCCCTCCGGTACCTGAGAATGCGAGATCTAATCGCGTGTTCACCGGAAGTAGTTAACTCAAAGCAACCTGAGAGAATTTTGAAGTTCTCATTGAGAGCGGGGCAACCATGTGAACTGTTTTCTGAACTGGACAGGAAGCTCCATCCTTCCACGGCGAAAGGGCCTGGTTTGTTTCCAATGTATTTCTGAAGGTAATTGGCACTGAGGCTGCGTTTGCACGGAGACGAAACAATACGAAACGAAACAAAACGGAACGAAAACGCATCATGCGCTGTATCATGCGCTGTACATGTCATGTGCATGTCGTGTGCATGTCGTGTGCATGTTGTGTGCATGTCGTGTGCATGTCATGTGCATGTCGTGTGCATGTCGTGTGCATGTCGTGTGCATGTCGTGTGCATGTCGTGTGCATGTCGTGTGCATGTTGAATTGTTCATGCGGAGTTATATGATGATTAACGGGGCTGGCCTCGAATCGTTTTCAAACCGTTTACACGAGAACAGCAGATCGTTTTTAACCATTTAGACGAAAACGGAAAATGGGTGAACAGGCTGCAGTTAGCACTTGCTGGCTTGCCATAACGGCGGGAAGTTACACGTTAGTTGGAGTTGGTACGTGCTGGTGGTCGCAAGATTTGTGTATTTCCCGCGAAGTATAGTCCCGCGCGAAATGGTTTGCATTACCGCGCGCCGTTTCCAATCGTTTTCCCTGTTTTCACCGTTTACACGAGAACGAAACGTTTTGAAAAAGTTTTGAAAACGTTTCAAAACATTAGAAATGCTTTTCAATTTCGTTCCGTTAAGGTATCGTTTCCGCCATTGTCGTGTAAACAATCGCAGTAAACGCAACGATTTCGTTCCGTTTAGGTATGCTTCGTTGTCGTGTAAACGCAAATCGTTTTCAATCGTTGTTGTGTAAACGCAGCCTGAGTCTAGAGTTATTATCAGTTGCATTACCACGTCCCACTGGATGATCACAGTCGAGCCACAGACAATGCTCATGTAAAGTGGACGATGTGAGCGTTTGCTGTGGATATTTAGTACCTTTATCTTGGCTGAGGTTAGAAGCAGGCTACAACCTGTGACGTGCCGGTTTGCAACAGAAAACAGGACATTATTGTGCATTAACACTTTCCAGAGGCATACCGGGTGATGTGATCAGCGTGAAGAAGGCAACATCAATTTTGGTAGATACGTGATGTTTAGACTTGGCTCGGACATGCGGATCCGGTTTGAATAAATGTACTTCTGCTTTTTCTGAACAGAGATCAAATGTCCGCAAATTCGTCCACTACCATCTGGCAAGACTGTAGAAATCTTTCCAGGCATCGTCTTCTATGCATGCAATGCAGGATTTAAACTTGTAGGCACATCAGCTTCAAGGTGTATGGCTAATGGAAGCTGGTCGACTAGTATGCCTCAATGCAACCGTAAGATATCCAGCGTGCTCTTGCACAGTAATATCTTATTTCACCAAAGCACATTATTATTATTATTACCGTAAAATCCCGCCAGAGCGCCCCTACCTCCTCGGCGCTTCAGGTGGGGAGGGGCGGATGGGCGAGTCCTACTTGCGGCATTCAGTGCTACATGAAAAGGTACGCAACCTACGAAAACTGTTCGTGCATCTCGTACACCGACCAAAGGTCAAGAGCCACGAGTCGTACAGATCCGTCAAAAAGGGTTTGTGCGATCCCTAGTCAAGAGAGTGGGCACTGTTGCGTACATTTCCAACGGGGTCGAGCACGCGTCTGCAGTACAGTACGGCATCACAGACTGCGACAGAGATACGAGAAATCACGTCCCTGACAAGAAGTCAGGGAGGGCGGATAGGAGAGACGGGCCGCTCTGGCGAGATTTACGGTATTATTATTATTCAAAGGATCAATTGGGGAAGTGAACTGCCTGAAAAGAGAACAAATCGCCAGACCCACCAGGACTCGAAAACGGGACCTTGCTTGTCATGGGTAATGCTCTAACCACTGAGCTATGGGACCGGGCTGAACCCCAAAGGCGCTGACAAGATTTTCACTTCAAAGGCAGCTCACAACACGTGCCACACATACTGGCGGCACTTGGGTCTTTCTCCCTCCCAGAGGACCAACCACGGTCAGTTTCTGGACCCTACCAGAAGTGAAAAGAGAGTGATAAATTTTGAAAGGATTGGGAGAACTTCAAATTCTAAGGAACGACTTTGCTATGTTACCGCGCCTGATCTGTGGCGACTGGATAATGGAGCTTGGTACACTGGCGTTGCTCTGGCCAAGAGCTTTCCAACGAGCCCTAGATTGTGAAAATCAAGTGAAGGAGACAAAAGTTATGACCTGGTGAAGTTGGAAATTGTGCTGAAATTCGTAATCCTGGTGCATGCTGTGCAAGTAATCCGGTAATAAAGGGTTAAGTGCTTTATATTATATTCCACCTATTTGTACAATTGCTCTTAGAGACGGGAAGCCTATAAGGGACAGAAAACCAAAGTTCATTACCATCATCTTTAATAAGGACCCCAAAATTCATCAACCAGTTTTCGGGCATCCTCTTCAAATGAATTACAAGAAACCAGAACCAAGGAAACATAGGGATGCGTAGCATAACAAGGGTGGTTACCATTGCAACTAGGTGATAAGTGTAGGGAACAAATATGCTCCAGTGGGGATGGGATAAAGGAGAAAGGGAGAACGAGAAGGTGGAAAGTGACACAAGAGAAACTAAACGCAAACAGTGTGGGATAAAGCACCTAATGGACGCATTAACTCACGGAGAGAACATATCAGTAAACAACAGTTGAACCTGAGAGAAATTACATGTTTCTTTTGGTAAAAAATTGTGGCTCTATATTATGAATATAATTTCTTCTAACCTGTTGAATTGGGCCAGAGGACGCGACCACGCGCATGGCACAAAACAGAGAAGTGGCTATTAAAATGCACATCCGCACAATCAGCATTGGCAATGGAGTGGTCACTAACAGACTTCACGATCCAGAGAACAAACATTGACACTTGAGCTAGGTTCACAGTCAGGCGTATCCTGTGTTTGCTCCACTGATATTCTTCCAGGCGCAGAACTTTGCAGCAGATCATTTGACACTTCCATTGACTCTGGTGGTGACGCTGCCCATGACCCTGCACTTGCCAGTGTCCCTGAACCTGCCACTAGAGACACATTGCATGTAATTCATTTGAAGAGGATGCCCGAAACTGGTTCATGCGTTTTGAAGTTCTTATTGATGATGATTGTAGTGTTCTCTCAACTCAAGATAACACTACAATAATGATGATGAATAACTTCAGATTTGTAGTTTCTTGTCCAACATAATTATACTGACACACACGCAGACATAGACACAAATGGCGACAACAAGCAAGTCGAAGTGAAGTTCGCCGAAGCCAGATGTGACTCCCAGATACATGCATCTATCACAATTGCCATGATTAGATCTATCCAGGGTGCTGTTGTCCGTCGCCACTCCTTGACCAATAACACATGTGGGAATACAGCCTACTCGCTAATCAGTGGGGGACTTGCACAAAAAATGCTCGTAGGGCGCTTTTGGAAGGGCGAAGTTCACTGAAATTGGATCGATGTCTTTCGTACTTGGATAAGAACAATAGCAGTATTGGAAAGGCGAGAGCTGCTTCATGTTTTGTTCTCTTCTCACCAGCAATTCAATGCTTTCCATTTGCTACACCCAAGAATGGTACACTTGTACGAAGTTCATGGGGGGTGTTTGGCATCACCGAGTTTGCATGCGACGAAGGATACGCACTCAAAGGGCAGAGATCTTCAGTATGTAGGGAGGATGGAACCTGGTCATCTACCGAACCCTCGTGTGAAGGTGAGATCGTTGTATTCTTGGTTAAGCCCAAGTTGAGCCATCCCAAACATACCATACCGTCACCAGTGTCGTATCCTATACGTGAAACGAAATTCGGCCGACACGTTTCGTACTTTAAGGGAGCATGTTTGAGAATACCAAAGTATATGTGCAAGTGGATCTTTCCGATTTCGCTCAAATTTTGCAGGTATGTTCCCTTTGGGGTGTAGATCGGTTGTGCAAAGCCCTTGAAAAAGTTTCTGAAGGGAACCTTGAAACTTGCATACCCCTCAAAAATGGTCGAAATATCACACTATTTATGGGTCTCCAAAGCTCTCCAAGCTCTTCAAGCTTCAGAGGTGGTTGAAACTTGGAGATTCCCGCGGTTTGGGATCAGCGCATGCGAAATAGGCTAAAAGTGCCTTTTCGCATACGCACAGCGCATACTTTACATGTTTTCGTGGCACTCAAGATCGCGGCCCCTTTGGCGCTTCATTTTGCTTGACAGCTGCAAAATATCTCCTAATTCTTCGAGACCCGTTCCTGAAGAATCCCAGTTTCTTCGACTTCTCTTTTCTTCTTCTCCTAGAAGCTAGAGAATTTAAGAACGCACCCCCCCCCCCCCCCTCTTAGTCTCACTATACCGCATTTCCTGTACTAAGATTTTGCATGGCTGTAGGAAGCTCTCCAGGCGTCTTGGTCTGTGCAAGCTGGGAAGGATTTAAACTCAGCTGTCAGGTGTATGGCTAATGAAAGCAGGTTGTCCAGTATGCCCCAATTCAATGATAAGATATGCAGCTTGCTCTTAGGAAGAAAGAAACAAAATGTTACATGTTGTCCGTAGTTTGTCCTTCTGTGTGTGATATGCCTACTTCAAGTAGACAAAATTATGAAGCAGCCTCAGAACTTTAGCAGCCGGGCCCTAACGAACATCCTCTTTCTTTCTAGTGCTGCTTATTAGACCTCACCTACTCGCAATATTTGTACAATTGCTCTGAAATAACATTCTTAGAGGGTGGGAGAAATGAGGGACGGAAAACAACAAAATGTCAAGCTGTACTTTGAAAAGATTGGGAGAACTACAAATTCAAAGTATCAGTTAGGGAAGTGAACTGCCTGAAAAGAGAAAAAAATTGCCAGACCCACCAGAACTTGAACCCGGGATCTTGCTTGCCATGAGCAATGCTCTAACCACTGAGCAATGGGACCAGGCTGAACCTAGAAGGCACTGACAGGCTTTTCACTCCAAAGGCAGCTCATAACACGTGCCACACATACTGATGGCACTTGGGTCTTTTTCCCTCCCCAGGGGACCAACCACGGTCAGTTTCTGGACCGGACCGGAAGTGAAAGGAAGTGGTTAATTTTTTGTAAGATTGGGAGAACTTCAAATTCAAAGTATCTGTCGGGGAAATTAACTTCCTCAAAAGAGGAAAAGTTGCCAGACCCACCAGGACTCGAACCCGGGACCTTGCTTGTCATGAGGAATGCTCTAACCACTGAGCTATGGGACTAGGCTGAACCTAGAAGGTGCTGACAAGTTTTTCCGTCCAAAGGCAGCTCACAATACGTGGTTAGAGCATTGCTCATGACAAGCAAGGTCCTGGGTTCGAACCCTGGTAGGTCTGGCAATGTTTTCTCCTTTCAGGCGGTTCACTTCCCCGACTGATAATTTCAATAATTATTTGATGTTATCCTAATCCTTTCAAAAAATTGATCACCTTCGTTCACTTCTGGTAGGGTACAGTAACTGACCGTGGTTGGTCCCGTGGGGAAGGGAAAAGGCCCAAGTACCATCAGTAGGTGTGGACCGTGTTGTGAGCTGCCTTTGGAGTGAAAAACTTGTCCCCGCCTTCTAGGTTCAGCCTGGTCCCATAGCTCAGTCGTTACAGCGTTGATCATGACAAGCAAGGTTCCGGGCTCGAGTCCTGGTGGGTCTGGCAACTTTTTCTCCTTTCCGGCAGTTCACTTCCCCGACTGATACTTTGAATTTGAAGTTCTTCCAATCCTTTCAAAAAACAAAATTATTTTTCACTTATGGTAGGGTCCAGAAACTGACCGTGGTTGGTCCCCTGGGAGGGGGGGGGGAAGACCGAAGTGCCATCCGTATGACAATTATTATTGTGTGGTTTATGTTGTGAGCTGCCTTTGGAGTGACAAACTTGTCCCCGCCTCCTAGGTTCAGCCTGGTCCCTTAGCTCAGTGGTCAGAGCGTTGCTCATGACAAGCAAGGCTCTGGGTTCGAGTCCTGACGGGTGTGGCAATTTTTTTCTCTTTTCAGGCAGTACACTTCCCCGACTGATACTTAGGTACCAAAGAACGAGAACGTGAGAAGCGAGGCAAGAGAAACTAAAACGCAGACTCTTTGAAAACAAATATCAAATAGATGCTGGTATTGACTAGTGGAAAGAGGGTGTCAGTAAACTACAGTTGAACTTGAAAGATAATTCAATTTCTTTTTGTTATGTAAAGGTGGCTGGGTAGTGTAAATATAATTTCTTCTAAACCTTCAGATGGGCAAGACGACCAGAGTCACGTGACAAACCAGAGCAACAGCTATAAGAATTCAGTCGAGCACAATCACCATTCGCAGCGAGGTAGTCGCTTACAGAATAATCATATTCACGATTAAGAGAACAAACATTGATACTTAAGGTAGGTTCACAGTTAGATGGTCGGTGTCTAAACTCTGCTAATATTCTTGCAGGCGCAGAAGTCACCAGCTTCCTGGTTGTTGTTGACACTTTCGTTGACTCTGGTGGCGACGCTGCCAGTGACTCTGCAGTCGGTGGTGTCACTAAACCGGCCACTAGAGGCTCACCGCATGTAATAAATTTGAAGAGATTTTTCCAAACTGGTTCATGAATTAGTTTGGATTCCGTATTGATGATGATGTTGATGATGTTGATGAATAGCTCGAGATTTGTATTGTCTTGCTCGACATAATACTGGCACACGCAGGGACGTAGACATAAATCACAACACACAAATCGAAGAGAAGTTGGCCGCAGCCAGATGTGACTGCTAGATTCATGCGCCTATCAACATTGCCATTGTTAGATCTATGCAGAGTGCTGTTGTCAGTCGCCTCTCCCTGGCCAGTAACACCTGTGGTAATACAGCCTGCTCGCTAGTCAGTAGGAGAGCTGCATACAAAACGCTCGACATGACGTTTGCATAGGCTAAAAATGGATTGATGTCTATCGTACTTGGATAGGAAATCTACCACTATCAGAAAGGTGACAGATGATTCATGTTTGTTCTGTTCTAACCAGCAATTCGATGCTCACAACTTGCTCCACCCAAGAATGGTACCGTTGTAAGAAGTTCTCTAGTGCTATTTGGCATCATTGAGTTTGCGTGCAACGACGGATACGCACTCAATGGGCAAAGAGCTGCAGTATGTAAGGGGAATGAAACCTGGTCATCTAAAACACCCGTGTGTGAAGAAGGTAAGATGGTTGTATTCTTGTTAAGCCAAAGCTTAGCCACCCCAAGCATACTATACTGGTATGAGTCACGTCTCCTGTACAAGTACATGAAACGGAAAGTTGATGAAACACACAAATAGGGCTTGAAAAAGTCGGGATCCCAAAGTGATGCAACTTGGTGGGATGTATATGTGTGCGAGGTTTATCGAGGAAAGATACAATCTGGTTCAGTTTGTAGACTCTGGTGCATATTTTGTACCAACGAAGTGTACAATAGATACTCTTGTGTGCTTGCGTTTTACCGTGTCCTTTCCTGTGCAACCAGATGTAAGTCGAAATATTAGGTACATCCATGTGTTTCCCAGGACGTAAACAGTGAAACGTTTGTTGAATTTGTGCATTTTTCCTTGCATTTTATTCTGCCTGAATAGTGATCCAGTGCCCAAAATTGGGTGAACCTGCTAACGGAACCATTGTCAGAAACTCTCACGCTGTCCTTGGTGTCACTGAATTCGCATGCGATGAAGGATACTTACTCGTAGGCAATTCATCATCAGTCTGCATGAGCAAGGGATATTGGTCATCTGATGCTCCAAAGTGTCAAGGTGAGTTTCCTATCAATTCACCACACATTTTTTCCGGTACTACACTGCTTAGTTCCACGCAGCAGAAAGGATGGACATGTCATTGACTTCGTTTGCGCTGACAAGTTCGGACGACATTTTCCTTCGGGGCCAGTAGCAATAAAAAAACATCTCTCATTTTTTTGGTTTCAGATTGGGATTGCACCTTCACACGGGTCATAAAAACCTGTTGATTTTCGAAAGAATGCAACAGTTCGTCCAATGATAGCACCGACCACCATTGTCATTCTAGCCAACAAGCATGTCATTCCCACCCGGATCCAACCTTTTTTCCTAGTCACCAGGATTTAAAGAGGTGCAACTGATTTGTGTTTTCTCTACAAAGGAATATCAAAATGCCCCTAATAACAGCGGCTTGGTGCCGACCGATGCGCGGTTTTACATTACAGCTGATATCAAAATGTCTTGGTTTGATCAGCAATATTAATTTTGGGTGTAGCACAGATTGAGGTGAGAGGTTTTGTTTAACGTTAGGCTTTCGCAAAATCTGGGATTATATAAACTACAATTACCGATTTTTGAAAAGCTAAAGAAGGGCCAGTGGCGAAGCTTGCTAAGCTGAGGGAGACATCAGAACCTGATTCCATCAATACGGTTACCATTATAAACCAAAGACAGCTCGGATTACCAAACTGAGTTTTTGCACCAAGTTCTGTGCATACTAAGTTTCAAAAAATTAACTGTCATTTGTTTTGAAGCTGGTTGTTAGGGTATGATTGTTTGTCGGATCCTGATGAGACTTTTTTTCCATAGTTGATCAAGAGATAGGCCTTGATGAACCTAGTATGGAGACTTTCTGGCTGTCCCCTCTGTCATTGGTACCCAGAAATTCGATGCAGTAGTGACCTGGCTACACCGGATCATGGAGCTGCGACATTCATCTCCAATAAATTGTTCGATGTCATAACATATTCGTGTAACCCGGGATATCAACTTATTGGCGACATCAGCTCAATTTGTCTTCCATCTGGTAACTGGTCAACTGCTACTCCGTCTTGTGAAAGTAAGTACTGTTTCCGCTTGTGATTTACAGTAAGGTGTTCCGATGGAGCCAGCTGAGGGACAATTGAAATGACGGACTATCGCATGTTGACACATATTAAATTTGAACACAGGCGTTGTGAGTTTGGACGAACAAAACGGAACAGGAGTGGAGATATAGAGCAGTTTGCTGGTGCACCAATAACCTTGTACATATCAATAAGACAAAGCCAGAAGCTGTCATTCTGTTTCTGGCGTCCATTATCTGTTGATAGATACGAGAACTGTGCATTGGGGCCCACGGCTCTGCATTTGCACAGTCATAGTTTCCCCATGCAGTGTCTCTGGGCAATGTTGGCAGCCTCCCCTGCACATGTGTGATATAATTCAGTACCGTGATTCTCTGGATAAAATTGTACTGTATCAGTGCTCTCAACTACCTGTGTAAATCATGAATTTTGTAAAGCACGCGAAATGGCTGGGCTACATGTGTTAGTTTGAATGGTTGTGTCCACCCGAATTCCTTTCGAGTAATATCCCACATTATAAAAAATAACCTCCAGAAATATATCTATTGGTTTTGTCACTTGTACCCAGGTATTCTGTGCAAGGATGTTCCCGCCGTCAACAACGGAAGCATCATTTCATTAAATAATATTCACACGATAAATGCAACTTCTATTGCGGTCTGTAACCCTGGATTCCATCTTTATAGCAATAGAACAGTTCAATGTGCCGAGGACGGCAGCTGGGACACAACGTCTCTTCCCGATTGTAGACGTAAGTAACGCTCTTTAGCAATATTGCTATATTTACTTTCGCATATACATGTTGTGCTAGGCAATAATTATATCATTGTCAGTTTTGTGGCATGATGATTTTCTTTAATTCAATAGACAAAATCAGAAGGGGATTATAGTCAGAGTTTTCTAAATTAATTTAAGGTTGCTGAGAAGAAGATTGCCAAAAATGGATCACCGCTGCTCTGCTACTTGTCTGCTACTTGTCAAAATTTAACCGGCCAACAGCCCAACAGCTCCCACAGCCCACATACCCAGCTCCCTTTACGGTGGATAGAAATATGTATTATTATTATTATTATAGCTATGATAATAGTCAGAAGTAGTGGCTGTGACTTCCGCCTTGATTATTAGAACTGGTTTTGCTCCCCACACTGGAGCTACCGCTATTCTGCTGATTTCATCTGACATTTGACTGACTGAAGACTGCCATCCAGAGAACACCAAACATCTATCGAACCTTAGATTCGGCAAACCTGCAAGAAAACACCAATCCCTGTTCAATAGACTAAGTTTCGGGAATTCAACCCCCGTCAGTTGAGCTTGAGTACGCTGAGGGAGGTTGTGCCTGAAGAGCATCATTTATATTATAATGCTCTCCAGGCCCAAACGTCCCAAGGGATACAAACTCACAGACACGCTTCGTTTCCACAAACACCTCGTGATCACAAGATAGCAGCGCGAGTCAGTGTCACTCCTGGACGGTGAGAGCAGGCGTCCAGGACCCTTGGTCATTCCCAACGCTGTCACCTCCAAACAAGCTAATCGCAAGCCTGCGCTGGGCACAAAAGTACGAAATAGTGATTGCGAATTCGGCGACGATTATTAGAAATGGGTTTGCTTCCCACACTTGAGCTCGCGTTATGCCGCAGACTTGACTTGACTCACAATTCCTGTCACATTTATTTCGTAACTGACAAAAAATAGATAAACAGTAGTAGGATATAACATATACACTAGAGTTGAAGGTTGCAGAATCCATTGAAAACGGTGACAGGACAACGCTCTGTAACTAAGTTATTGATGTATTGTTATCTTGCACAATATGTAAGAAGAAATCAGAACCAAGGAACTACAAGTTACGCTATAATGTACACCACTTGTAGTTCCTTGCTCCTCATTTATTCTTATAAATTAATCATTGGCTCTCCACCCTGGTCTAATATACAATTTGGATAAAAATTGCTGATGCTTGCATGAGTGAGTTCCCAAGAACGGCAATAGGAAAGTCACAAGCCTTGCACAGATTAGATTAAACCCAGTAGATATGTGTGTCAGATACAGAAAACGATATGTGTGTCAGATACAGAAAACGATATGTGTGTCAGATACAGAAAACAATATGTGGGTCAGATACAGAAAACGATATGTGGGTCAGATACAGAAAACATGAGAAGAAGCAAGCAATCCACATCAACTCCTACCTGATATAATAAATTCAAAGGGGCACTCCGGCTATATTTTCAACGCCGAGTTTTTGATGCCAAGACGAAGGTAGGTGAAAGAGAAGACCCCTCGAACAAGAACGAGTCTCCAGAAGCGATCGAGTCGAGCAGGAAGACGACTTTTGAATTTCGCCGAGCGAGCGCTGATGACGTAATGAGGGATTAGCTTGCCAGTGGAAATGCATCTGCGCACATACATTTCACATACCTTTTGGCCAATTTTCAATCGAAGAGGAGGTTGTTTTCTATGTTCTCTCAACGTCGTGAGCGATCCAGTCTTCTATACCCTTCCAGGTACCCTCAAGGTCCTCCAGAGGAGAATTTATCTCCAGCGAAGCATTGTTGTTAGCATCACATCTGCTTTGCAGTCTGGTTGTTCAGGTGATACAAACGGGCTCCCCGTTGTTACTTGTTACTCCCTGCGACAGCGGCTATAAGCCTCTCTCTCCATCGTCAACAATTATCACAGATTCAACATTCTACATTTATCAGCACTGCACTGGGTGAATGTCTCTCGAGATGAATTTAGCGGATCAACAACGCTTCGCTGGAGATAAATAATATTCTCCACTGGAGGACCTTGAGGGTACCTGGAAGGGTGTAGAAGACGGGATCGCTCACGACGTTGAGAGAACATAGAAAACAACCTCCTCTTCGATTGAAAATTGGCCAAAAAGTATGTGAAATGTATGTGCGCAGATTCATGTCCACTGGCTAAGGGTGGCCACATCATGCGAATTATTTTGTCCAAAATTGAAATTCAAAAAGCGAAAAAAACGGTCAAAATGTTTTAAGAAAATTCAAAAAATTCCCCAAAATGCCGAAATTCGATCTGTTGCCATGGTTTTTACAGTACTCATACTCAATAGTTCCAAACAGAAACAGAAAATCCACAAACTGCTTATTATGTGTGTCTGTGTGCTTCCAAATTCGGGGATGGGTGTCAAAAGGTCAAAGGTCAAAGTTGTGTGTATTTGAAATTACTGTTTTTTCACATGTCAAACTTGGTACTATTTAGCAGCACATGTACTCTCCAGATGTGACAGCACTGTCGTTCTCCAAAAACGGCCAAAAATTCAATCCTGATGGGGCCAAAATTCCAAAAAAAATCAAAGTGCGAAAATCCTACCAAAATTCAAATATAATTGAAAACATTTTGTGGACAAGCCTACCACTGGCAAGCTAATCCCTCATTACGTCATCAGCGCTCGCTCGGCGAAATTCAAAAGTGGTCCTCCTGCTCGACTCGATCGCTTCTGGAGACTCGTTCTTGTTCGAGGGGTCTTCTCTTTCACCTACCTTCGTCTTGGCATCGAAAACTCGGCGTCGAAAATGAAGCCGGCGTGCCCCTTTAATACGATCTTCTCCATGTCGCCTGTTTCAACTTCCAAAGACATCGCTTTAACAGAAATGGTTTTCCAAGTATCCTTCTATTACGTATTTTTATGGTTATTTCTAGAAACAGTCACCGGCGAAATGAGGATAAACTCGTTCCTGGGAAGACGAATCGGCATCCATTGACAGTGCATTGTTTATGGTCTTGGTTCCTTCCACTATTGAACACGGTGGCTTCAATATATTGCCTATCCTTGGTGTTCAATAATGCTTGTCCTGGGACTAACAACGCAGTTCTTTTCTCACTGTACTTTCAGCCTTGCCAAACATACCCGACAAGGATTCACAGCTGGAGAATGGCTCTGACAGTGTTCCGTATCTGATTGTGATTGGCTGCCTCGGATTTATCGTAGTCATCTTGGTTATAATCGTCATTGCTCTCTTCATACGGCAGCGTTCAGGCGTAGGAAAGCTTATGGTCGCAGATGAAATGACAGTTCTTGACAATGAAGCATCATCCGCAGGGTCTCGCTGGAAACAAAATTCCGAACAGGCCGCCGAGAGTGGATTGGAGTACGGCACCATTGGCGATGCTTGTAGTGATGTGGAAAATGTTGTCTATGCGAGCACTACTGATGTCACAGGTATTTCCTCGGATACAGCCAAGACTGCTCAATCCTGCCCAGATGAAGCAGACGCTCAACCGGATACAACAAGCCCGGTAGCTACGAATGATTACGAGGAAGTGGTCATTACTAAACCTCCACCGAGAAAACCCCAACCAGAGACCAATGATGAGACCACGCTAGGCAACGGACATGCAGATACAGGAGCAGCATCTGAGGAGCCTGAAATCCTGTACACGACCGTACAAATCACAAAGGGACCAAATGGCACACCTGCTCCAACCTGCGAAGACGAGTCCACCACGTATGCCTCCATTGATGTAAAGGCGATGCGAAGTGATCGTTAGCTGGAAAGTGGCTGTCCCACTGCATTACGCAATGCACTTCATTGGGCGTGTTCTTTTTCTTTCCCAGAATGTTACACCTTAGCATTTCACCCCATGTTCCATGGCTCTGTATGCACCATCTCCTCATGTTCCCACTGCAACTTCTCTTTTCTAATTGCACACACCGTACCCTGTAGGCTATATGTACCAACAACTTTCTGCTTATGCATTTGGTTTGCATTGTACAAATACATTTGCACATGCGTTTTTCCAAACCCCTAAATAATCGCATTTCACAAAAGGTCACGTGATTCCGTCTGCATCATCATCTCATGTTGCTATTGCCACTTCTTTTTTTTACGATTGGCGCATACTGTAACATTATAGGCTACTCTTAAGGTCTAAATAATCATGCTTATACGTGTTGTGACAAAGGTACACTTCCTATTTCGCTGCAAACATATTCTTTTGTGAATTTCTGTGCATGAGCACATGTATTCTTTTTAAATCCCTGAACATTTTGCTTTTAAGCAATGCTCAGACTTGTGTGAAATTGCAGCATAATCGCTTTCTGCCTGACTTTCAGTTTATCACAATTCTGCATCACATACTCCTATTAAGGTGCCTTCCGCCACATTTTTTCTCTCCTGGACGTATATTTTGCACGGAATGCATGAAACTATTCATATAACTCTTCCCCAATATGACCATGATTCTCACTGCAGAAAATATGTTCAGCAAGGTTTTGCCGTTTCAGGACATTTCAGTTATTTCGCTGCTTGGCAACAATTCTTGTTTAGTTTTCAACCAAACCTTATCACGTTTCATTTTTTTTCTACCTCTTCACATGTGCGAATAACAGAAATTCCCACGTACAAACATATTCAGTTTGCTAGCTGGAGAAGAATGAGGCCAGTACGTTATAAAGGTTGCTCACTAATGCAACGTCCTCTAGCTTTCTTGCTTTTTCACGAATCCATTATCTCTAGCCAACGTATGATGCTGGAAATTCATGAGTTCAACCGGCGTTAGTAGCTTGTTGAATAGAGAGGTTCCGGGGTACGATTTTCCGTGCCAAAATCCGTGTGGGCGCTACGGATTTTTTTTCAGGCGTGCTCCATACGATTTTTCGGCACGGAGAATCCGTGTGGACTGGCTTTCACACGAACCATGTTTCGTATGGAGATTTTGCGTCATCGGGTGCAGAAAGATTTTTCGCGTACAAATTTGGTACGAGAAACATGGATTTTCCGCGGGAAGTTTTTATTTCGGTACAAATTTTCAAAATAAAAAGGCATAGCGCGGGAATGTGACGTGTTTGCGATCGTAACCTAGGCAATGACGGCAAACACACAAGTTCCGTACCCCGGAACTTTTCACTGCCAGAAAACGACGTATAAAAATCCGTAGCGCCTCCACGAATTTTGGCACGAGAAATCGTACTCCGGAACCTCCCTGTTGAATGTCATTCTATGAGGGCGTGTGAAACTCAGTGTGCTATTTAAATTATTTGGATTCACTTCATGATTGCATGTACTTGTAGATGCGCAATGGAAGACCGTCAGGTAGAGGAATCTGATAGTATTCTCCATATTTTTTTGGTATTCTCCATACTATAGTAGAAGATATAAAAAATGGTTGCGAACGACGGCACTTTATGACATACACCAGCATTAAGCGGACACGAACATACACGCTGGTGTGTCCAAATGCGTGTACAAATACTCCCTCCCCAGCCTCCCTTATACACCTGGTCAGTTTCCCACAACACGTGGTCCAACTATCCGCCCACTACTCTCGAACAGGTTTCTGCGGAAAGCTTGGGACGTTGCCAACGAGCGAACTAATACCGCCATAACACAGAACGCTGAAAATGGGAAAACGGCTGTGTATAGGTGTGTACACGATGCCAGCTAGTCCGGTTGGTGGGTACACTTATGCTTGATTGTGTTGGGTCTGTTGCCAACAGGCTCGGCTGCTTTAAGGTGTATTTTTGTATCTGCCACCTTTGTTGGTTTCAGGTTACTTTCTATTTGAAGTATACACACCTGTTAGCCATGGACTGCTTCTGGCTAGATTAACTCTTGTGTAATCAATGATGCTAGTGACGCTTAGATCAGATCCACTCTGATTTAGCCACCCACACTAGTAGCAAGTATTACCTTCACTGGGGGCAGGGGTAACTGCAGTTGGATCCCTGGACGGATACCCTGATGCGTCAATCCTTTTTCTGCACCTTGTCCTCACCCACTTACTGAGGTGTGGTGAGCCCATAAGTGGGATCATTTGCAAGTCCACCCAGAGTTTGGGGGATTTCAGGGGGTGTCGGCCGTTGGGCGGTTCAATAGCCAGTTGAGTCATCTTTCCAAGATTCCTTTTGAGTCTCTCTCCCCTCTCCCGGGGAGACCCACGTGACCAGTTTTGGCAGTGAGCGACAAGTACAAGTACACGATACAAACAAGGAATGCTTCAAAAGCAGTACACGCAACATACAATTTGTGTACATATAGCTAACTGGAAGCTTTCGTGCAACCTTGGATCAGGGAAACGTACAATGATGCTCCATGTTCCGATCACCAGACAACACATGAGCAACATGCATGTGGTATCCTGATTAAAGGCTACACACGGAGTTTTGCACACAAGTGCTTCTTCGCCTACACACTGTATCTAGTGCACAGCACAGCTACGTAAGACCAGTGGAACAGCCGGGAAAAATAGGCAATACACATGGACCCACCGAACGAGCATGCAAACCGGAAAGAATTCAAATTGGTGTTCGTTGTCCACATGGCGCCCTTCTCCACAAGTGGTGCCATGCTTTTCTATTCATTTCTTGCACTCGTGCTAATTCGTTATCAAGACTTGTCGTTCCTACACGATACACACACACACACACACGCACGCACACACACACACACACACACACACACACACACACACACAGAGGCATCTGGTTTCCGAAAACATTTCGACTGGCCACCATCCAAATCCGTTCACCGAGGCACAGCAGTCATCAGCAAGTCCTGAAACGCAACAAAATCCACAGCGAGCTGGTATGTGGATTGTACGAAGGCCCAGGGGTTATGTCCACGACATAGTTGCGAGATAATTATCTTCGAGGAACACTCCGCTGCCCACTTAGAAGGCCGTTTGTCCAGCAACTCCTTATCTAATGAAGGATTCGCTTTGAAGGTGATGAAAATCACAGGCTGTATGATTCATATAAGAGACAAAAGATGTTCTGCATGACAGAAAGTAACTGAGAATAAATAACTAGGAGATGAGGCTATGCATTTCCAGGACTAGAAACCACAGTAATCTCGCTAGCTTCATTTACTGAACTGGCCTTAACACCCTCTTAGTGTAAAAATTCTTGTCCGTTAGGCAATGCATATTTTCGACTTTACAATAAAGGGTTCATTACATCTGTGCTAAATGCTTTCAATACAGCACGCCATGCACCAAAATATGGACCCATAATTATGTTGAGTTCGAAACAGGACGACTGACGACACATTATCCAGACATTACGACGGGAACAGGTAGGTTGGGGGAACGACATTTATTATAGGCGACGAGACAAGAGACCAAGACGAACGAAACGACTACATGGTGATTATTGACGAGTGAGAAAAGAGAGAGCGAGAGATCAAGTCTGAACGGCAATATAAAGGGCCTGGGTAGCTATGGCAAATATGGGCGCGCATGTAGCTACCCAGGCCAACGGAACAAAAGGAGACAAAAGGTGAGTACGTAAGTGCATGCAGGCCAGCTATAAAAGGTACGGGAGGAGGTACCTAACAATTATTACATGCTGTGAGCGGGAGTACTTTGTGATTTTAAATACCAGAGAGATTGTTTTTTGGGGATGTCGTGGGGCGAGACGGTGTTTGGTGTAGGAACTCGACGCAATACAGGTATCAAGCTATTGCGGGATAATGTTAATCGGCAGATTGAGTCTACTGACTGGAACCTGCTGCGCATCATGATGATCATTTTCCAGTCACATCTAAAAAGGGTATTTCTTGGTGACAAAAAGGAGCCTTGTATAGAAGAGGAATGAGTCACTATGCACGTCATTGCTCACGTCAGCACCTATATCATTCAGTAATGTACCGTTAGGTCACAGAAATGGCTGAACTCAACACTAAAAGGACTGAGTCACTTGTTGTGCCACAGAGTGTGGAGTATATCATGCAGGACATGACAGTTCCATCCTTGGAAATATGTATATATATATATACACTGCACGATCAGGTCCTCACCAGAGATACATCATCGTTCTTTGCAACTCTGAGTTTCATGAAATGAATCAATCATCAGGCAATAGAAACAAACTGATACAGGGCAACTAGATCACTACAGGTTATATACCCAGTCACACAGCAAGCGCGAAAGAAGGCACTAAGTTAGGGGTGAGAATATTCCGTGCTAAAAAAGCAGGCTTCAAGTGGCAATGTTTAGGCTCTGTACTTGTACTGTGTGCATGCGTTGGATATGGTGTTGGGTATGGTGAATGAATTGGCAGAGTGTGCAGGCTGTTCACGCGATGCTCATACGTAGGCAGGGCGTTGCATTTGGCGTATTGGTCATTCTAGGTGACTCCTTGGAAGTTCACGAGTCGGAACTTGTTTGCGTGCCTGCACTTTGCGACGACTTCGCTCCTCTTGTTCAGTGCCAGGGTCTTATCAGCAATTAGGATTCTGGCCTTTTCAGTTGTGCAGAGGTTGCATCTTTTTGTTGCAGGGTTGTAGGAGCTGGTCCTGTCTTTTATCTGCCAGGTAAGGTGGTACTCTTCCTTGTTTTCCTTCTTCTGCCACAGGTGTTCCGACAGTGCGGTCTTTTTTCGGTGTTTCTCGTGTCGGAAAGACATAGTGTGATTGTTGTACCGGAGCTTGAATGTTGTGTCTGCCGAGCCGATGTACACCTTTTGTTCCTCCTGGCAGGCTACGGTGGCTTCATAGACGATTTGTGTGGCTTGGCAGTGGCCATCCAGCGGACATTCCGTTTTTTTCCGGCAGTTACATGGTTTTTCTGGGCTTTTTTCCGTGAGGTGTTGTTTGTTGTGGCTGCTGATTTTGGCTGCGACGTTGGGGAGGCAGGAGTAGCTAACTTTGACGTTGTTGTGATTGAATATCTTTTTTAGCTCGCTGTTTCTGAAATGCCGGTCAATGAGCCTCAGGAATCCGGCGGCGACGTTCGTTCTCACGTTTCGGCTGAAGGGAGGGTTGAACCATATGATCTTTCGTTTTCTGTTTCGCTTTTTCCTTTCTTCTTTTTTTGCTCCGTTGGTTCAGTGTACTGGATTTTTTCTGTATATCCACTGGCTGAGAGTGCTGCATTGTACATGGGGGCTGCTTGGTTAAATGCGTCGATGTCTGAGGAGTTGGTAGAGACACGTCTGCTGATAGCTGCTGGAAGGTGTTTTAGTATATTTGGTGGGTGGTTTGAGTGGGTATGGATGTATCTTGGTGTGTCGCCTGGCTTCCGGTGTGGTAGGTAAGCTCCCGTGGCTAAGTTGAACGTGACGTCAAGGAAATCTACCACCTTGAGGTTGGAGTCGATGGTGACACGGAGTCCGTTTGCCGTGAAGACTGCCGTCAGTTTCTTCCGAAGTCGCTCTGCAGTACCACCGGATGCGTTCTTTATGATGGCTAAGCCGTCATCACGGTAGAGGCCGATTTGTCCTTTGGGGATGTGCTCTGCAAGCTGGTTCAGCAGGTAGGCTCCGACCAGTTCGCACACCTCTGCACCATCAAACGATCCCATCGTGACATCAAACATGGATCCGTTGCCCTTCTTGATCCATGCTTGGCCGTCCTTGAATATCACGGACTTTCTTGCATGCATGACAATGTTTCTTTTTTCATCTGTTATGACAGTGTACGTTTCTGCAAAGTCGAGGGCTTTTTTGAGGAGCGTTTCGCCGATTGACGGATAATACTGGACAACATCGAAACAAACAAAGCAGCTAGGAGAGAAGCTAAACATCAGCGACCGCGTAGACATTATGGGCAAA